ATTGCAGAAACGGAGGGATGGTGTGAGCCCGTGTGTGCCAGTGAGGGTGCATTTTTGAATACTACATATCTGTATGCTTTACGTGTATACATTTTATATTGATGGCAACATTCTTGGGAATCTTGGGTTTCTCTTCTTACACCTACGAGGAATTTTTAGAAGCATGTACAATGTTTAGCATCTAAAACTGCAGATAATGAAGTATTAAAGATTTATTTAATTTACAGTCAGTCTTGGGGATATGCTGCTTTTGAAAAGGCCTCCCGAGGAAGTAAGTCCAACTGAGTCTGAAGGAACTCATCTAAAGCCCCAGCTATTTTAATCCATACAAACAAAACAAAACCAATAAACAAAACAAAAACCACATTGGAAGAACAGCACTGCCCCCTTGTGGAGACGCACTAGATAGTTTGCAAATGAGGGCTTTGTTTTTCGGGTTGGGCTTTTTGGTTTGTTTTGCATAACATTACCTTTTGAGACTTATGGCCAGCTGAAAACTGGGCTATCCTCCACCGTAAGCACGCGTAAGGATTGATGTATGGAATGGGGTCTCACAGAGAGAAGCTAGGGAAGGCATGGCCAATGTTTAGGAAAGATTTGTTTTGTTTTGTTTCGTTCTGTTTTGGATATGGTGTCTCAGGCTCACTACGTATGGTTGGCCTGGGAATCTCTAAGTAGACCAGACTGGCCTCAAACTGGCAGAAACCTGCCTACCTCTGCTTTCCCAGTGAGAAGATTCAAAGTGTGCTGCACCCTGGCCAGCAATGGAGTTTGTTCACCATACCCAAGAGCCCAATGGAACATAATGTCAAATCTCTTACTTAGCTTTGCCAGGGCAGAGGTACACGTGGGCCTAGGGAGATAAACAGGCAGAAGTGACAGGGTAAGATTTATTTTTTTAATCTAGAAAAAATGCTTAAATTTAAGTCTCACTTTGCATAAACAATACTTAATGAAAACCATGAATTCACCCTGGTGACTGAAAGTGAGCCTTTCCACCCCATCTGCCACAGCAGAGATGTTTGCATGTTGGGGGGAAGTTAGACCGCAGGACCTCTGTATACATGCATGTATCATTTCACAAGTATTTCTGATGCCTATTCTGCTAGGTCGGTGCAAAGCCCTAAAGTCACATGGACTGTCTTTTGGAATGACTCAAACACAGCCATGACTGTGGCATCCAGGAGGAATCAAAGTACTTAACCTGGCAAGGCTTCCTAGAGCCCAGATTATGCCAAGCCATGGGTTCATGGCACCCATCCACCAAGCTCTTCGGGGTTGTTCTGAGCCCAACCCTGGGGTAGGTGAGAGGGTTGTAGAAATAGATCAGACATGATCCTTGTTTGGGGGGTGTTCACATCTTGTTGCAGCAATAGTAGTGGTTTAGGGGGATCTCAGGAAGAGCAGAAACAAAGTGGTTTGTGGAGCCATGCCGAGGAGATGCTTTAGAAGCAGTATTGTACTACTGAAAGAACACCCCAAATATGCCAACCTCCCTGAGATTCCAAGGACATAGCAGAGTTAGCATGCAAGTCATCACACTGGCTTGTTAATCCTTAGATGTTTGGTTTAATGTGGAAAAACAGCTGCTTCTTTCAGGGGGATGGGGTTAAAATGGGAGAAACGTGCAGAGAGTACTGGGTGAGAACGCTGGCAGTCGGCAAGCTTTCTTTTCAACAGATTTATCAAAGGATAGGTTAAACATCATAAAACTTACCCACTGTGTGTGTGCAGTGAATGGGGTTGAGTACATTTACAGAAGTGTGAACCCAGCGGAAAAGTGCCAGAGCATCCTTGTTGTCCCAAGCTCTCTGATGCCGATGATAGTCCTTTTGTTCTGCTTCTTTCATGGCTGCGCAGAAGGAATCCGGGGCTATCATCCTATGATGACTAAGTGTTGCCAACTTGACAACTCTAGAACAAAGACTCTCAACCTTCCTAATGATGCGACCCTTTAATACAAGTTCCTCATGTTGTGGTGACCCCCAACCATAAAATCACTTTTATTGTTACTTCATAACTGTAATTTTGCCACTGTTATGAATCTTAACATAAATATCTGTTTTCCCATGGTCTTAGGAGACCCACGTAAAAGGGTCTGTCAATCCTTGAAGAAGTTGTGACCCACAGGTTGAGAACCACTGCTCTAGACTCTGCTGGAAGATGGGCCCCTGGGCATGCCTGTTGGGGATTATCCTGTCTTAACTGAGATGAGAAGACAGGCTCATTGCAGAGAGTAGCCCTCCCGGCTGGGATCCTGGGCTGTGTACGTGAGATGGAGGGCATCATGCCATCGCCAATTCCTGCTTCCTGTGATGTGACCAGTAGTTGCCTTAAGTCCCTGATGCTTTGTCATGATGGACTGTACCTTGAACTGTGGCCAGAATCAATCCTTTCTCCATTAGGTTGAATTTACTGTGGTATTTTATCATTGCAATAAGACACTAAGATCCATCCCAAAATACGCTACGGGGTATGCTAATTATTTCAATTAAATTAACTTAGTGGAGAATGTGTGCTAACGGCGGCAGCTTTCCTGTTCCCCCAACTACAGAGGATGACGATTGTCTCTCCCTTCCCCGAGCTTTCATGAACTAAAGTCACACTGAAGACTGAAATCCGCCAACACCAGTAGACAGCACCAGTGGCACCCCACTGCATTCTATTTCAGAAGTGAACAAACCATCTCTTTTGTTCCTCCGAGGTGAGAACTGTTCTTTCATCAATGAGTGTGATAACACGGATAATATTTTGCCTGTTATGAAAATGCATCTTAAGTATCCACATGTAAGTCGTTGTGTGGGTGTGTTTCACTTGCTAGATTTAGCAAGCAAACATACAGGGTGGCCAGTTACATTTCAGTGTTGGGCAAACAACAAACAGTATATTCTAGTCAATGCAAGGATGTTCTTACAATAAACACTTTTTCTGTTTATCTAATAACCAGGTTTCATTGGAAATATTGTTTTCTTCTCTGGCAAGTCTACTGCACATAAATACACGGAAATGGAACTGCTGGGTCATGAACCAAGGTTATGCTTAGCTTTCTAAGAAATCCAATTTGTTTTTGAAAGATTCAGTCACTTTACATCCCAGAAATGAGTGGAGGGCTTTGCCAAAGAAAGTGTTAACAGTTGGTATATATTCTTTTCTTTTTCTCCTCTTCTTCTTAAAAAAAAAAAAAAAAAAAAAAAAGACAGGATCTTTCAAGCCTCCTGCCCCAGTCTCCCAACTGCTGGGATCACAAGCATGTCACCAGCAGTCTCTATGAAGAATTAGTAGACATCCATGTATCTTCTCAGGAAGATGCCTACCAAACTCTCAGCCACTTTTAAACTGGACTCTTATTGATTTTTTTGAGCTCTTCATATTGTTTGCATCAGGGAAATGGCTCAAAGGGTGTTTGTCAACAAGCTAACCACCGTGAGTTTGAGTCTCCATGAGTCTCCATGGTGCACAGAATCTAATTCCCCAGGCTGTTCTGTGCACTAAAATGCGCAAACATGTACCACCCCCGACACACACACAAAAAGTAATTTTAATGTTCTTTATATATCCTAAACACCAATCTTTTCAGGCATATAACTTTGAGATGCTTCAGTCTGGTTTGTCCCTTTACTCTTAATTATGTTCTGTTTGCCCTGAAACACCTTTAATTTTAATAAAGTCCAATCTATCAATTTGTTTTCTTTTTTTTTTACATTGTGATATTTATTCATTTTTTGATTTTTTTATTGAGAAAAGAAAAAAAAACATAAACAAAAAAACAAGTTTCCACCTCCTCCCAGCCTCCCATTTCCCTCCCCCTCCTCCCACCCTTCTCTCCCTCCTCCCACCCTTCTCCCCCTCCCTCTCCAGTTCACAGAGCAGTCCGGGTTCCCTGCCTGTGGTAAGTCCTAGGTCCTCCCCCCTCCGTCCATATCTAGGAAGGTGAACATCCAAACTGGCTAGGCTCCCACAAAGCCAGCACATTAAGTAGGATCAAAACCCCGTGCCATTGTCCTTGGTGTCTCATCAGCCCTCATTGTTCGCCATGTTCAGAGAGTCCGGTTTTATCCCATGGTTTTTCGGTCACAGTCCAGCTGGCCTTGGTGAGCTCCCCGTAGATCAGCTCCACTGTCTCAGTGGGTAGATGCACGCCTGGTGGTCCCTCAATTTGTTTTCTTAGTGGGTTTTGTTGAAGTCCTTTGTGTGGTTTTTCATACTTCATTCTAAGAACTGTATAGTAGAACAGGGACCTCTATAAAGATTTAACCCTCTTGCTGTCTTTTTTCTTGTGAAATATGGCCATCCCCAGTGGCAACTGTTAAATGCCACCCTTTCTCCCACCGGGTCATCTTCTAAGGGTTCATTTCCTGAATTTTGTTTCATTGCTTTGTATGTCTACCGTTATGCCAACACTCCAAAAGAGGATGTCAGAATCCTTGTAGATAAGAGTTACAGGTAGTTGTGAGCCCCCAACGGGCATTGAGAACTGAACTCAGGTCCTGTGCAAAAGCAGTGTGCTCTCTTAACTGACTGTGGATCAAGATGTATTAACTCTCAGCTTCTTCTCCAGCACCATGTGCCTGTATTCCATCATGTCCCACCATGATAATGGGCTAAACATTTGAAAATGTAAGGTACCCAACTAAATGTTTTCCTTTATAAGAGTTGCCATGGTCCCGGTGTCTCTTCACGGCAATAGAAACCCTAAGCAAGACAGATACTATGTATTTTCCCCACAATTTCGCCTTTAAACCATATACATCTGAATCTAAAGAGTGCTGCTTGGGCTTTAGCTGACAATTATTCCAACAGTTTTACCATTAATGGCTTTGGGTTTTGTTTTGAGGCAGGTTGTGCTATGCAGCCCAAGCTCCCTGGAAGCATGCACACCCAGGCTATTCCCAAACTTGGGACTGTTGGACCTCATCAAACAGTGGATTCTTATGACACCCTGACCGAGTTAGGGAGCTTATCCATTTCTGTCTTCCAGAAAAGAATGGAGCCACTGGCACTGGTGGGAAAAAGTAGTTTATTTGCATTGCTTCTGTTTTCTACTGTAGTGTTAGGACGTAACTCCTAGCTTCTATTTACAGTTCTTCTGGAATATTACTACACATACCATGTACAATTTTAAAAACTTATGGGAGAAACGCAGTTGTGTTTTTCTCTCTTCTTCACAGGCTTCCAAAATCATTCAACTGAAATGAATATTTCTATGGACATCTGTACATATCTGAAAGGGCAGAGATCACACCAACAGAGTCAAAAGATTTTGCACAAATACAATAAAATACAGACGACAGTATAGATGATGTTATTTGGGGTACAAGTAGAAACAATACAGTACCATCTGAGAACTTAGCAACATAACACTCACACTTTACAGAAATAAACTGCAGACCCGGAGGATGCGACAAATACTAAAACATTATATACACAATGAGGTAAATGTACCTTGGTCTCTTGAGAGGTAATTTAAGTTTAAAGCAAATGACATTTTGAAGCATCTCCTTGACATACAAAGAAATATCAACTACTCCATTCCATTGGCACAATGTGAAAAAGGGATTATCAAAACACAGTTCATGATACTCAACTCAAAATCTCATAGAAAACGAAAAGCAAATTCGCTTTAAGTTTTAATAAAGAGGTTGAATGTTACTGACCATATTTTAAAAATGTTTGTAAGAGTGCATAACAGGATTGAAAACAGCGTACTGACAGCCCTCTGCTTTCCTAGAGAGAGCCCACAGAAACGTCAACCTAACACATGAACTGCACTGCCACCCGAGACTATTCTTCAGACTCTTAATGCGTTGACATGTTCTGCACTGCGACAGAACATCTAGGATCTCCACATGTGGAGCCAGAACACTCCATGACAAAGGGACAAAGAAATGATTTGCGACCATCCTTTCAGTGCACTGAGCGAAAACACAAACTTCTGCTATGTCTAGTGGGCAGATTTTGGTGTGCGTGTTAATCAGTACTTTGTCATTGGTTTTACTATCTGATAATAGGGAAAGAGTCAAACATGTATGGACTGCAAATAGTCACATGATCACTTTAACCTGTGCTGAAAACCAAAGTCTGGAGTTCCTGATGGCCATGGTACCACATAGGGCCTCAAGGCACTTCTTGAGCACTACTGCAGTAGTGGGCTACAGGCTCAGCTCCTCGGCCTCACCGCTCTACTAGGAACACAGCTGGCCACTGTTTCTGAGGCGAACTCCTGCTGCCACCTGGCTGTCACCCTCCTCTCTGCTCAGAGCTAGCATCAAAGCAGAGCATCCCCGGCCCCATGTTTGCAGACCACTCCTCGTGACATCCAATGACTCCGTGAAGTGGGAAAGTGTCACAGAGCTTCATCAACCACTTCAGTTTAGGTCTCAAACAGCTCTTCAGTACAAAAGCTGGAGGTGGGGTGGGGGACAAATCTCTGAGCCAGGGACAGCAGAAAGGCAGACCAGGAGAAACACAGTTGAAATGTAAGGGGCCCAAGCTGTCTACGCCTCAGTAACTCGCACTTCCCTCATGCTCTCGGCCAGGGCACTGACAAGGTGATGAGTCATTTGTCAGAGTAGGTTTTAGCCATACTACGTCTTGGAAAGGGGAGGGTATTTCTGATAGGTGATATAAACAATAGACTATATTACAAAATAACATAAAATTATTTTTCTAATCAGATGTATTTGTAGTCATAGCCACAGTAACCATGATCTATCTCAGCTTTTAAGTTATTTTCATATTCATATTGGCCACTTGGGATTAGCAAACTATCCCTCGACAAAAAATTAGCTATAAACACGTAAACTCAATTGAGAACTAAATTCCAACTTTAAAAAAGTTCCCTGATTCATCAAAAGCACATTTTATCCACTTAGGCAAGAACAACATAACGATTCTTCAGCCTCTGATGTGATGAAACGCATCTTCGGAAAAACCCATTTCCTTGTATGAAAGCGAGAAACTGTATTACAACTTCAACTCAGACAACTTTTGGTATGTTCTTAAAATTATATAAAAATAGTTTTAGTGATAAAATGCATTGGTCCCCTGGATTTCCATAAAGCGATCTTAAAGGGTTAGAAATGGAGAGAACAAAAAACAAAGGCCCCAAAGTACCTGACCGCAGCACTAGAGCTTATCAAGCAGGTGACGTAACACACACCATAACAACAAACCCTCACGCTTACTCACACTGATGAAATCATGATAACTACAGAAAAAAACTCAAATTTGTATTCAAAAATACTAAACTCTAAGCACTTTTCCCCACGATGTTTTTAAATGCACGAAGCTGACACTAATGCCTATGTAACATGTCATTCATCCTACAGTTACTTTGGTTTAAGACCAAATAGTCTTCAGATTTATCCTAGGTTGAGATAAGACATAAACAGAAAGCAGCTGCCTCAGCATCAATAGTCACAATCTCTTGAATAAACACTAGAGGTTATCTTGACCTTCCTATCTGGGAACTGCTACCACTACGCTCAACATCTTGCCTCAAGCAATGATAACACTTTCCTCTCAGAATATGATCACAGTGATAGAAAGGACGTTGAAAGTCATATGAGACCTGCAAAGACTCAGAGCATGGAAATAAAACCCAGGCTTAACCAGCTAACTCCAGCACTGATGAAAAGACCCAACAGGCTGACTGTGAACATTTCATGTGGCCAAGAAAACATGAAGGGAGCCTCCACTCAAAATGGGCTGCTAGCTGCCACGTCTCCCAGTATCAGGTGTGCACTGTATTTAGTGCTACCATGTAACCATGCAGTTGCAAGATCTATATATGAGATAAAAAGACTGAATTAAAAGCTGCCTTCTTCAAAGTGTAGTGACCTCAGAACTCCACTAACTCTACCCTTCCCAAGATAGAATCCACAAATACAGCTACATAACATGTGAAAGTCAAGTACACCTGTTGCATATTCAAATGAACTATCTCTGCCTTCCTAGAAAAGGCCTATTATTTAACATTAACCACATTTGAATTTTAAATGCAATTCATTTCAAAACAGAAAAACCAGTCTTTGATTAGATGAAGAAAAAAAATGGCTTACAGAAAAGCATACAACTTTTGACGAGGCAGCAGACAGAGCTCCCCTTTCAGAAGAGTCTGTGTGCCACAATGACTAAATCCATAAAGCACTGCGCGTGTCTGGAGTGCCACTTGGCTTTTTAAAATAAACTCAGAAAACACATCTCAGCTGCAAAGCTTCAAAGCTCAATGTGGGGATGTTCCCACATGACCAATAACTGCTTCTTAATGCTACTGCATTGCCTCAGTGGTTCAAGCACATTTGGGTAGGAGAAAGGCATAAATATCGAATGACATCTACCACAAAAACTTTAAAAAAAAAACCCAGAAAAGATTTAGGTTACTCAGAAAAATAATTTTTTTGAATGAAAACAATACAGGATTTAACACAGATTTGCAGAAGTTCTGTCCGTTTCCATTCAGAAAGATGGAGAAGTGGCACTTACTGGTGCACACAGCCCATGCTGAAGGCATGTTGTGTTCTGAGTGTGAGGAGCAGGAGCTACACAAACACAATGCATCAACTGTGCCCCTCATGCCTACACGAGGCTGTTTCTTTTTTAGACTACAGAGTTTCAGGTGTTAGTTTCAGATCCTGAAAAATTATAAAACAGTACATTCAAAGTGGATCAAGGAAACTAGTGGTTCAGAATCCTCTGAGAATGTACTAACAGGAGCGAAAACCACAAGTGCTTCATTTAACTCGACGCCCCAGCGCCATCACTGCACGGATGGCCACCAGCACAGCAGCTCCCTAGGGGCCAGCAGTCCTTTTAAAAACAAAAGTAGACTACACAACATCCTGTAACTGTCCTGGGAAGAAGCGTCGCAGTGCACAGCAAGGATCCCCATGGCGGCCTCTGGGCCCAGAGGAACTCTGGGAAGCTTTCAATTGACCATATTCCACTGCAGCAAGAGGAAGCAGTGCCCTCCGCTCTCCCAGTGAGGTAGAACAGGCCTCCCAAACACGCCCAGGAGCAGATATGAAGAGAGGAGAGTCCCCATGAAGTTGCAGTTACATTTTGATGCCTTCCTGTTGGCTGAGCTGCGACAATGTTTTTTTAATTCGCAAAGCTGTCAGTCTAGCTGCTCCATTGGCATACCAACATTCTCTCATAATTTTAGCCATCACTCTCAAGGCCTACAAGAAAATATGAGAAAATAATTAATGCATATATACCACTTGCCATTAATCTGAGAAGACCTTCTATTGGTGACTTTTAAATAAGGTTCCTATTCTAGCGTTGTTTGTAGTAGCAAAGGCAGACTTTAGTATCCATCAAGACCCAGGTGCCAGTTCTGGAAAGGCTGTGGGTGTGGAGCTCTCTCAGGGGACTTCAAAAGGCTGATGCCACCTGAGACACTGGGTGAGAACTTAACTGCATTATTAAGTACTTTAGAACAAAGCTTAGGGTAGAAAGTAGGGAGAATGGCTCAAAGGGCTGGAACCCTGGCACTGTTCACTCCAACATTTCACAGCTAGGGACCCTGCCACTTCTCCATCCTAGCAGACCTGAGAGTTTTCATCTGAGAGAAGACCTATCTCTGGTTACAGAGCATAAGTGCAGGCATCCCACGCCGGAAGCATACTGAACTCTCAGAATGTAAACGTTCTCCCACAACAGGGGAAGTAGTGCTTGTACATTCTCTTCTTGGGTAGACTCTGAAGGTATCTCCTTCTGGAAATTTGGGCAGCCCAAGAGAACAGACCTGAACAGATGACCAACAGTGACTTTCTAAGAAAACAACCCAAAGAGACATAAGGAAGCTGCAGTCATATGACACGGGTTCTACCAGCACCTAGACCCTCGTTAAAAGTGAAAAGGGTCTGGTCAAACGTGAAAAAAGTAACATGAAATGGAGAAACTGAAACCAACAGAAGATACAGACAGAGAACACCACATCAAAGCTCTACTGTTAATGGATAGGGTGCAGCTCCTTGGAACAGCATTTGCACAGGATGTGCGAGGTCCCGTGTTCAGCCCTCGCACAGGCACCACCAAACACTGGTATTCATCACTGATCTGTGTGTAGTCTTTATGCTCAAAGTTCCTTCCCTCTCCCTCCCTCAGTGTCCCTGAGTCCCTGTATTTTATACTAGAGCACTACACAAATGTCTAGTGATGGGCTGATAAGGTTCTGTAAGTAGTGAAGAGGAGGAACATTCGGAGAACAAGTAAGTACTTGTAGAAATTAAAATTTTGAGAGAAAGGTAAGGTGGAGGTCATGAGGAGGAGGGAAAAGGGAGGGAGAATGAGAATATATGTAGTGGGTCTTCTTTCTATCTATTGCTTTTATTGGTTAATTAATAAAGGAACTGCTTGGCCTGATAGGTCAGAACATAGGTGGGTGGAGTAGACAGAACAGAATGCTGGGAAGAAGGGAAGTGAATCAGATGCCATGATTCTCTGCCCCGAGATGGACGCAGGTCAGGATCTTTTCCAGTAAGCCATCGCCTTGTGGTGCTACACAGATTACTAAATATGAGTTAAAGCAAGACGTGAGAATTAGCCAATAAGAGGCTAGATATAATGGGCCAGGCAGTGTTTAAATGAATACAATTTGTGTGTTGTATCTCCGGGGCTAAGCTAGCCATGCGGGAGCTGGGCGGGATGAAAAGCAGGCCTGCTCACCTTATCACTACAAACATATATGTGGAAAAACAGAATTAGAACATGAAGCTGATAAATCTCCCAATAAGTAGGGAAAAAATTGGGGACGGGAGTAGTCTTATATTCAGGTAAGCAGAGGTGAAGAGAAAACAACATGGGAAGCTATCCAAGACTTCTTCAGAAGTATTTCCTAAAAAATATAAGCGTCTAGATTTAAAGGATCATGAGCCAATTCATACATATATGTTCACTTAAACAAATATTTTTGTCTGCAGGTGTTAGACACAACAGTGAACAAACATGTAAAATCCTTGTCTTCAAAAAGTTTGCATTGCAGAGATAAACCAATTAATAAATTACTGCAAAATACAGACCTTCAGGGTGGCAAATGCTAAGGAGAAAAACAATTTAGAGGAGACTGAACACGTCAAGAGAGGCAAGCACTCATCTCAGTAGGAAGGGGGAAATGTTTAATTTGAACAGAGTCCTGAAAGAGAGGAGTAAACAAAGGAACAGGAAGACAGAGGCTCAGAAGGACAAAAATCAAAAATAAAACAAAAACAAAAAATCCAAAAAAGAATTCCAGGACAATCGGCTACACAGTGGTCCTGGGAGAACCACACTGGAAAGAGCAGAAGGCTCTACAAGAGACTATGTACTTGTTCGTTTGGGGCAGGTGTGTACCCTGCACATGTGCCGCTGGACACTGAACTGGGGCCTCACACACACTTAAGAGCCTTGTAAACCCCAGAAAAGGAGAAACTTGAAATAGCAATACGTACCCAGAACATCAGTAACTGAACTGAGAAAATAACGCGGCAGTGATGGCATCGATCAGCACACCGTAATAGTAACTGCACTGTACATGCTCTTAATGTTAGCAAATTTCTTCCCACTGAAAAGCCGTTTGTCCTTAAACTGCTTCAGTTATTAAATGTGTGTGAGCACTTCACATCTGTGCTCTCAAGCACACCCCTGTCTGTCGAGTTCCAGCACATGAAAACTCCAGTACGCTGAGTTGTCTCCTCTGGGTCTGCACACTGCATTTTACTTAAGATGTCACATAAAAAGGATTTCTTTTACTCTTAAAAAATTCTTAAGGAAAATAAAAACATTCTTTCTCTTTAAGTTTGTGTTCCCCATGTAACTTGTTACTGCTTGGGTATGTGTCCTCTGGACTTTCTTTCTAGGAATGTGTATGTTTGGTACTTTACCAACAACAAACAGTAGAGCTTTGTAGAAATTACCAGATTACAAGAGAAACTTTCCTAAAACCACCTTAGTATCATTCTTTGAGGCCCCATTAAGAGATCTAACGTTATTTTGAAATAGGGTCTCATGTAGCCCAGGTTGGCCAGAAACTGGCTGAAGTTAAGTTTGAACTCCAGTTCTTCCTGCTTTTACCTTTGGACTACCAGGATAACAGGTCTGTGTACCACAGCCCTGCTTTAAAGTGACACTGGAGAGCAACCCCCAGACCTCCCAGAGGGAGCACACAGACGCCAGTGGGGAACCACTGAGCTGTCCAGACGTCCCTAAACTATCAGACATCAAGTATGGAAGGCACATCCTGCTCCACTACTAGGAAAGAAACTGCTGTCAATAAAATCTGTCTAATGAGTCTGATGCATGCCTTTAATCCCAGCACTTGAGAGGCAGAGCTCAGTGAGTTCAAGGCCAGCCTGGTCTAGAGACAGCCAGGACTATTTCACAGAGAAACCCTGTCTCAGAAAACCACGAGAAAAAAGAAAAATTGTCTAATGACTTCTTTGAATTTATAGCTAAGAATGAATTCCTACAACATTCTTTAAGAGCTGGGGATGACCCCTCCCTCCTAGAAGCAGCCCTACACAATCCTAGGAACTCAGGTCACATCTGAAATGACTGTGCCCAAGCTCCTCATCTGACAACGGGCGCTAAGCTCCAGAGAACTGAAGAAACCTGCCCATGTGTGAGTCTAAGAGGGAGCCGAGCTGGGACTGACAGTCCTCATTCTTGCCCAGTGTCTGACAGTGTCTGCGCTACCCTGGAGGGAGGTACTCATGCCAATAGAAGCACCTTATTCCATTTGGAGGTCTAACAATGTTCAGACATGCCACTGACCACTGCAAATGTTACAGAGTCTTTCTAATACTCAAGAAAAGCAAATTATTCTACTTTACTTATTAGCTTATAAGAAAGAGAAAGAAGTGAGAATTTTCCCTTCCAGAAAGTGGAAACAGTGGAGCACAGCCTAGTAACAAAGGAAGCACTCACTTCACAGCTCTGCCATCTGTTTGGAATATTGGGCCTTAACTTCTGTTCACAAACTACTTTTCTCATTTCTTCAACTGATGGATCAGAAGGTACAAGGTCATAATAAGGCAGCTGGTAGTCTTCATGAATTCCTGTATTGGTTAGAAAACAATCCCAGTTAATCAGGAACTGCCTATCACTGTAAGGTTACTCGACAGGTTCATTACTCCGCCTCTACAGTGGGGAGGTGCAGAGACATCCACAGCTTTCTGCATGTATCTCCCCATACCTGCACCAATACCCCACCCTAGGGCCATCACTGCACCTATACTTTTGTGAAGGATAATGTTGTCAACCTGACAACTCTAGAATCCCTGGGAGATAGACCTCTGGGCATGCCTGTGAGGGATTATTTTGATTGACGTGGGAGGGCTCATATTAATTATGGGCAGGACTACTTCCTCAGCAAGGGATTCTGGAGTGTGTAACTAGACTGGATGTCATGTGACCAGCTCCCTCAGGCTCCTACCACTGTGACTTCCAGGATAGCTGTAACTGGGAACTGGGAGCCTTTCCTCCCTGAGCCTGCCTCTGAGGAGCACTGTATCACAGAACAGAGAAGGAACCCAGAGTGCTGTGGTGACCAGGTGGACACTCTGACTGTAGCTCCAGCAGGCAGAAGAAGATGATACATTATTGTGACCGCAGCCTCTGGCTGGATGCCTGGATATACTTATAAAGGGATGAGGCCCACATATCCCTTCCTCTGCTTCTCCCTGTTAACATATCCTATGCTATAACACCAAACATACGCTATCCCTTACTGTCTCATCCCAGATTCCTAAGCCTAAGAGACAATGTTTTGAGCAAACACTGACAAGTAAGTTCTTAGGCTAATATAAAACTAAAAGCTAAGGGCTGGAGAGATGGCTCAGAGGTTAAGAGCATTGCCTGCTCTTCCAAAGGTCCTGAGTTCAATTCCCAGCAATCACATGGTGGCTCACAACCATCTGTAATGAGGTCTGGTGCCCTCTTCTGGCCAGCAGGCATACACACAGAATATTGTATACATAATAAATAAATATTAAAAAAAAAACAAAAACTAAAAGCTAAAACAAACTTAATCTAAAAAGTACAAAATGTTAATGCAATTAAATGGATATGGATCTTCAATAATCAAGCTGGAAAAAACAACTACAGTCTTAAAAACAAAACAAAACAAAACAAAAAAGATGTAGTTGAGTCCATACTAAAAACAACTTCTCAGGTGGCCTTTTAAATAACTCAATCCAAGATGACAAGAGGCTAGGTTCTGACACTGAGACTCAACAGCAACAGGAGAGGACTGGATGAAGCTGTGTGCTGGCGAGATTTATCTTTTGTTCCCTGTGGTGTTTCCAGTGGTCACCTGTCAGACTACGGACTGTAGAATTTCAGTCAAGGGGGAAGAAAATTTTTGACTAACTTCTCATGATAGACTACTGGGGGAAGGAGAGCGATTTACCACCAATGGAACAGCGTCGAGCAATTTCCCAGAACACTAAGCCCATTGCATAGATGTCCGCACGTTTGAAGGATTCAAAGTGTTTCATATTTATGGAATCATCTAGAACTTCAGGGGCCATGTACCTAAAAAAGAAGCCAACATTTTAGCTGACATTCATTTTGAACTGCTTCATATATTGTCTTTTCCTTCTGAGAAAGACACAGATGTAGTAATAAGGGCGGCGGGGCTGCGTCCCCAACACCCCAGCCGCCTGCCTGCTCGGCTAGCTTATGCCCCGAAATAACAACACACAAACTGTATTCATTTAAACACTGCTTGGCCCATTCTCTTCTAGGCTAATTCTCACATATTAATTTAGCCCATTTCTAATCATCGGTGTGTAGCACCCCAAGGTGCGCTTACCGGGGAGATTCTAGCCTAGTCCATCCTGGGTCGGAGCTTCATCCCGGGAGCGGGGCATGGCGTCTCTCTCAGGCTGCTCCCGAGAGGAGAGCTGTCGAGTGTCTGACCTCACTTCCTCTTCCTCCCAGCGTCCTGTTCTGCCTACTCCTCCCACCTATCTTTCAACCAATAAAATGGGCCAAGGCAGTTCCTTTATTAGCCAATGACCTTCCTCCATCACACAGACATACAGAGTCTCAATATGAAGCCTTAGCTGGCCTGAAAAAGTTACTATATAGACTAGGCTGGCTTAGAAATCCACCTGTCTCTGCTTCCAAGGTGTCCAGATTAAAGGTGTACACAATCAAACCCAGCAAACTTCGTTTCTTTTTATGTTGGTTGAGCTGCTTTAAAAAAATGATTCACACTTCCTATAAAAAATTTCCCAAGTATATAAAGTACAAAGTGAAAAAAAATCGCCCCATTACCATGAGTGCTAACACAAGGGTCAGTCCTTTCGGATGCCTTATAAAAACACATACACAAAATATCACATAACTGAGATCATATCAGACTCAGGCAAAATATTAAGTATCTAAACTGGTTTGCAAATTAATGATGTTGATTAAATCCCATGAAATGCTGACACTGCAGGCAGTGCCATGCCATCTGTCTTCTTTCTGATCATGGTTTCTGAAAGACACACACTGAACAGCTGTGCTGTTACAAGCACCCTGGTGCGCATCACCCTCCACTACTGTTTAGGGGCATATTTTTTCTTCTTCTTCTTTTTTTTTTTTAGTTTTTGGGACTGGGTTTCTCTGTGTAGCCCAGGCTGTCCTGTTGTTCTGGACCAGGCTGGCAAGATCTGCCTGCTTCTGCCTCCCAAGTACAGGAAATAAAACTGTGCGGCACCACAGTCCAGCTCTGAGATTTCTAAAACTCTGCTACAGTTATAGGTCCTACAGACCACTACTAAGGCTCACTCAGCCAGTCATGAGTTTTGTAAATCCCCATGGAACCCAGAAACTGTAATTACAGTTTAGATTGTCTGAAGCTGCTGGATTTCTCCAAGTTCAAGGAATGAGTTTTGAAGGAATTGTGAAGTGATTTTTAGACACAGTAAGGCTCCGAGTCCATCTCAGCTTGTCAGAAGCGTGCTGACACATATTACTTAGCCAACTCGGAGGTTTTCTCATCTGAATTAAGAATAGTAACACCTATCTACGGAGGCTCTTTTGAGAACACACAAATGCAACAAATATTTACGAAAGTGTTTTAGGCACTTCAACAAATACCTGGAACACAAAACTGCTCTTAAGCTTCTTGCAATCCAATGGAATACAGAGACCCAGACACATAAGTGGACAGAACATAACATGAGAACAGTTAGAGCAAACACCTCAGATTGTCATTTATCATGGTGCTGTGCCAGGAACATGTAAGCGTCCTGAGGACCAGGAAAGGCTTTCTGGAGACAGGAGGGCTATTAAGGAACAGTAGAGGATGTATGTTTTAAGGACAGCATATACAAAAGTTCTAAGGAAGAAAGACAACAGAAAATATGAAAACAGCCTTGCTACAGTACAGAAACCATGGCAAGCTATAGACTATTATTAGTTATTATTTGTGGTGATTTGAAAGAAAATGATCCCCATAGGGAGTGGCATTATTAGGAGGTGGCCTTGTTGGAGGAAGCGTGTCACTGTGGAAGCAGGCTTTGAGGTCTCATGTATGCTCAATCCACACCCAGAGAGACAGACCATTTATTGTTGCCTGCATATCAAGATGTAAAGCTCAGCTCCTTCTCTAGCATCATGTCTGCCTGTGTACCACCATGTCCCACTATAATAATGTACTGCTCCCCTGAACTGTAAGCGAGCCATCAAAATTAAGTGTTTTTCTTTATAAGAGTTGCCATGGTCATGGTGTCTACTCACAGCAATAGAAACCCCAACTAATACATTACTGTTCTTACAATTAACCCAGTTAAGTTCATAATGATACTTTCTGGAAGGGCTGCTCTATCAACAGGCTCATTTTCAAGTTAGGTAACCAGGCTTCAAAGGAGTAAAGACTCCAAAAGCTTGTGAACAGTCTAATGAAGGACCAAGTTTGAGTTTCAGAAGAGATGGGTATATGAAAATAGGAAAGAAAAGGAGTTGACATAAGGCATTATTAAACACCACTTATTCCTAAGTATACCTTTTAGTGCCTACTCTGTGGTTTGGAGCAATATCAATTGTATCTGTGGCAGAATCATGTCTCACAGCCAGTCCCAAGTCTGCAATACAACAAGTTCCGTTCTTCTTCACCAAGATATTCTTTGATTTCAAATCTCTGTGAGCAATAGCTGGCTTTCCTATTGGAAACCAAAAGTTAGAGATGACTGCTTAACGAATGACAGCAACCACAACTCACTTTTTAGGTGCCGAAGCTTCACCTGTCCCATTGTGAACACACTAGAGCGACATCACCTATAACAACTAGGCTACTACTAACCTCACTAAGTCACTGTGCCAAAGGGATGAATTTCTGTTTAAATTTTCAGACAACAAAATCTAACAACTTAAAAAATTAAGGTGAAAAAGTTGTTTATTGATCTCTAAGTAAATTTCCGTATTTCTGAGATTTGCCTTGGAAAAACATTCAAATTTTAAAAGCTATACATTTCCAGTTAAGTTTTGAGTTTTGAATAGATATTACATTCACAGGAACTTAAGCTTAAATAATAGAACTATAGAAAGTATTACCTTGGGTACCAACGATCTCCATGTGAAGATGGGCAAGACCACTTGCAGTGGACAGAGCCAGTTTGATCATCCCTTCCACTGTAACAGTGTATCTGTTCAAGTAATCAAAAAGGGAGCCGTGCTCATGGTAATCCGACACCAGCCACAGCTGAGTCCACGTGCCGTTGTCTGGAAGTCAGGGCACACATTTCAGTTGGGCTGCAGCGCATTTACAGCTATTCAAGCCTTTACCACTTTCCACTCTCAGTCTTGATCACACAATTGCAACATGACGTCACCTTAAGTTTGCATGAATTTCTTCCACATTCTTATATTCAATTTTTCTACACTTTTATGTGTAGTCCCTTGGAGTACACCCCCTATTCTTGAGACAAAGCAAGGATAAATATTTTCACTTAGGAGAAAAGGACTCATATTCCCACAATGTCGATTTTCTTTAGACTACAGAGTAGCAGAGCTGGGGCTCCTCAGTTCCTTGGAAGGAACCTGGGTGAGATTAGTTAGTGTGCAGTGTTTGCTTCTGGAGGGGAAGAAAGGCACAGGGATTGGGGATAAGAAACACCCAGGGAGCCCAGCACGGCCTCAGTGTGGATGAAAGAGCATGTGACAAAACTGACGTGAGCTTTGGTGAGGACTGACAAGTTTTAGTGACAGACTGTACAGTTCTCAAAGATGCCAGACAAGTTGATTATAGCTTCAATGTTGTTACCTCAGGAAACCAAACACAGTGGTACCTCTGATGCTGAGAAAGGAAGTGTCAGAAGAGACAGCTGAAAAGAATCAGACTAAGCTTCATTTTACACAAGGTGATGTAGAACCTAAACCACTTGGAATGCGGGTGCTAAGAGTTCCTAGGTAAGCTGATACATGCATCTGAAATGATTTCCCAAAGCAGTAACAGTAGGATGCTAGTTAAATGCTATTAAACTTAGAAGTAGATGGTAAAACAAGAGAAAACACAGCTCAGTAAAGTCATATACTGGCTAGTTTTATGTCACCCTGACATAAGCCAGAGTCATTTGGGAAGAAATAATCTGGCTTGTGTATGAGCCTGAAAAATGATGTGGGGGGGGGGGGGATTGGGGAAGGCACTCACTATGGGCAGTGCTGCCTCTAGGCTTGTGGTCCTGAGTGCTAAAAGAAAGCAGGCTGGACCAGCCATGAAGAGCAAAGCATTCTCCATGACCTCTATTTCAGTTCCTGCCTCCAGTTTCTGCTCCAACTTCCTTTCATGTGGACTGTGATCATGATATATAAGCTAAAATAAGCCCTTATGTCCCCAGTTTGGTTTTGGTCATGGTGTTTTACCACAGCAATAGAAAACCTAACTAAAACAAGACAGACTGACTCAGAAAAGAATTGAGGGTCTTTATACTATTGATTACATGGCCTCAGACAAGTTTCTCAACAGGGTTATGCTTCTTTTAGACAAGAACAGCAACCTACTTCGAAGACTCTTAAGATGTTAAAGAGAACACAGAACTGCATTTCTTTTTAAAGTAGGTAATACGCCAGGCGGTGGTGGCACACGCCTTAATCCCAGCACTCGGGAGGCAGAGGCAGGCGGATCTCTGAGTTGAAGGCCAGCCTGATCTACAGATTGAGTTTCAGGACAACCAGGGTTATACAGAGAGATCCTGTCTTGGAAAACCAACAATAGCATCAACAACAGAAACCAAAACAACAAAAGGAGAGGAGGGGGAAAGTTGAGGGATGAGTAGGGAGGGGAGATGAGATCAAGAAACAAGATGGAACTACAGAATATGGAGATTCCTTTATTTTTAATTTTATTATATGTTTGGGTGTTTGACCTGCACGTATGGCTCTTTACCACTTGTGTGCCTAGTGTTCACAGAGGACAGAAAAGGGTACTGGATCCCCTGGAACTGGAGTTATAGGCAGTTGTGAGCTGCCATGTAGGTGCTAGGAGTTGAACAAAGGCTCTGAGCCATTTCTTTGGCCCCATGCATTCTTGATACTTCTAAAAAGAACTTATGAGATTAGTGACACTATTTTTTTCTTCTCTTTTTTTCCTTTTTAAACTGTTCTTCCTTCAATTCCTGAAGTTTTTTTCTTGGTATGGGCGCATCAGCAGCTCGTGTGCGTGTCTGCTGCATGCATAACTGTGTTCGGAAAGGCCTAACACACAACAGATAGAGAAGATGCAGGAAAGGGAGGTTTCCTGAGGTATCCACCAGGGAAGAAGGAAGAGGGAAAAGACTATACATACAAAGAGGGCAGCCCAAGGGACAGAGAGACGACTCAGAAGTTAAGAACACATACTGCTTTTGAGGAGATCAGAGTTCAATTCCCAGCACCCTACTGGGCAGCTTACAAGTGCCTGAAACCCAGCCCCAGGACAACCTATGCATTTGGCTTCTTTGGTCACCTGTACTCAAGCACACATATCCACACACAGATATAATTAAAAATAAATCTGTTTATGTTGTTCTGTTTAAGGCTGGCCTGGGCAAAACTAACCAAATCAAGAGGATGAAGATAAAGAAAAAGAGAACTGAGGTAAGAAGCATAGGTTGTGCCCTAATAAAGAAAAAGGGATGAGGGAAAGTCAGTAGGGTCAGTTAGTTCTCATCGTGACCACCAGATGACAGCATCCACCTGACTGCTGCTTGAATAAATGACACTTCAGGGCACAACAGGTTCAGCGGTTAGCACCTGTGTGTCCTAACCTGGACCATGCCTGATGGAGCCTAAAAGAAGTTTCAGTTTCAAGTGCAAACAGCCACCACCATAGTAGAACCTGGAATCACAAACTTGGTAAGTCTTTAAGGGAACAATCATTGTTTGTAGAACCAGAGCCTTTTTTACAAATCAGCCAGAAGAGTAAGATTGAGCAAACAAGCAAATAGTAAAAAATAGGAGCAGGCTGGTATTGACACACATTGTTATCTCAGCACTGGGGATGGAATGAGGAAGATCATGAGTTCAAAGCCAGCTGAAGCAATCTTAAAAAAAAAACAAAAGAAAATATAAACGAAAATTATAAAAATACAGTAAGAAAAATGCTGTCTTGAGAATTGGGTGAGTAAACTAAGCAATCAAAATAGAAGAAAGCTGAGCGCCAAGGGCAGTCAGACTTTGATCATTACTTTAGTTTACTTCTCTGTTTTTTAATTAAATACTAACTTGTTAGGAGGATAATCGCTGCTAACTATCCATTACTGTTTCCACCACCATAAGCCTCCCCATGTCACAGCCTAAGAAGTTTAGGAAACCAATGAAAACCAATCAGAATGGGCCTCTGTAGTGTAATCTTTTTAGCTTATGTGTTCTTTTTTTGTTTTGTTTTGTTTTTGTTTTGAGACAGGGTTTCTCTGTAGCTTTGGAGCCTGTCCTGGAACTAGCTCTTGTAGACCAGGCTGGCCTCAAACTTACCAAGATACACCTGTCTCTGCCTTCCGAGTGCTGAGATTAAAGGTGTGTGCTACAACCACCCAGCCTGTGGTGTAATCTTAACTGTTAACTTGATTGTATTTAGGATGATGCTTCAGAGACAAACCTCTAGGTGTCGTCTGTGAGGGTGGTTTCCGAGAGGTTTAGATTAGGTGAGGAGACCCACCTTCAATATAGACAGCACTACATTCCATGGCTGCATTAGTAGGAAAAAGGGGGTCAGGCACCACCCTCTATTTCCTGACTGCAGATGCAATGTGACCAGCTCCTACGTGCTGCTACCTCCATGAACAACAACAACAAAAAATCCTTCCTTCCCAAAGTTGTTTTTGCCCCAATAATGACATAAACTAATACAGCCTCTAAATTTAATGCATGCTAAAATAAACAAAAAAAAATACAGGATGCCAAAAGAAATTGTAAAACCCCTCATAGCACCACCTGACATTAGAAAAAGGGAAGGAGAGCCTACTTTCAAGTCTCACCAAGACACAAATGACAGTCATTGCTGTGGTTTTCGCTGTTGTTTGTTTTTAATAGGAAAGCAGGAAATACACTAGATTTGGGACTAGGATGTCAAGTTAGGTCAAATGTTGGAGGGGCAACTGTGGCATAAGGTACTACCTAACTGAAGCCATGAAACACAAGCAGGGTCTGAGGTGGCTGCTGGCAGTCACCCCTCACTCTGACTTACAGGTGCAGCTTCCTTGCCCCTGGAGCACGGGCCTTGACACCTTACACTGGCACTACACTGTCCCTAGTGTTCATGTGGTTCCAGCAACAAGGCAATTCAGCAGAAAACTCTTTGGTTTATCTGAGTTTCCTTACAGTACTGAAGAATTATTTAATCCCTGCCAGGTCAGAAAAGAATACACTCACAAATTATTTTTACTCTCCCCAAAAATAAGGCCATTGTAGATGGAGATAGAGCAGAATTGTAAAGCATTTGTCTAGCATGTACAAGGAGGGCCCTGGGCTTGAAACTAGAAAATTTAGTGAGGGAAGCTGGTCTACCGTGAACACAACACCGTGTGTGTGTGTGTGTGTGTGTGTGTGTGTGTGTGTGTTGGTCTACACTGAGATGACCTACTAACCCAGCACTGTGTGTGTGTGTGTGGGGGGGGAAGTGTTGGTCTACACTGAGATGTCCTACTAACCCAGCACTGTGGGGGTGGGGGGGAGTAGGGAGAGTGTTGGTCTACAATGAGATGACCTACTAACCCAGTACTGTGTGTGTGTGTGTGTGTGTGTGTGTGTGTGTGTGTGCTGGTCCACACGGAGATGTCTTACTAACCCCAGTACTGGGCAGGGGTGGGGAGGTGGGGACAGACAGATGGACTGATCTAATACCGAGATGTCCAATCAATCATTGCACTGGGTGTATGTGAGGGGCCTGGTCTGTACTGAGAAGTCTTATTGGACTCATCTCAAATTCTAAACCACCTATTTTTAGTTTTTTTCCTTCTATTTTATGACTATATTCAACTAATGGCCAACTTTAAAATAATAAAAGTATACAGCATTTTTATAGCTTTTTTCTATTTTACAAATCAATAAAAGATCTAGAAATATACTACCATGGGCCAGCAAGATGGCACAGTGGGTAAAGATCCTTACTGCCAATCCAATCCTGATAACTTGAGTTCAATCCCTGGAATCCACATGGCGGAAAAAAAGACTCTAACAAGTGGTCCTCTGACTTCCACACGTGTACAGTGGCACACAAAATACATATTTAAAATATATTGTCATGATGTTCTATTTCTAAAAGATTGTATTTGACCTAATCAATATTACCTTTATAAAAAATACCTATTTCTCATCAAATCCAAGAGTGTTTATTTAGTAGTCATTTCTGCTAAAACAAAGCTTTTCTAGACTTTGTTTTATTCCACTAAAAGTAAGGAAATGGGACTTGGGAGATGGCTCAACTGGTGACACGCCTGTCATACATGACTCCCAGCATCCACGTAAAATCCAGATGTGGTAGTGCAGACCTGTAATCCCAGAGCTGGGCAGACGGATAGATCCCCAAGACGTCTAGCAGATCAGTCTACACAAACAGCTATGTTCCAGGTTCAGTGAGACCCTATCTCAAAAATTAGGTGGAGAATGAGTGTAGAGAGAGCCAGCATCATCCACATGCATGTACCCCTACACAAGTGTGCACGCACACGCACGCATACACACAGGTGCGCGCATGAGAAAAGAAACATCAGTAACCTTTGTTGTCTGCTGCTATAAATCCCAGGATGTTTTCATGGCGTAACATCACAGTCTGATAAATCTCTGCCTCCCGGAACCACGAACGTTCTTCCCTAGAAGAGAATATCTTCACAGCAACTTCTTCTCCCCGCCACTTTCCTCGCCAAACTTCTCCAAACCGACCTTTGCCGATGCTTTCTTGTAACACGATGGTTCTGGCGATTGTTCTCTGAACAAGCAGTGGTAACCCTAAATACAAAGATAAGTACAGCGTAATCACCAACAGCCCACACCTCACAGGTGACAGCAGGCAGCGCAGACAGGGGTGGGTACTGTTCCTCAATGTTTACCTTATTGGAAAAACAGACTACGTTTGCCTCCCCAACTCCAAAAAATGAAAAAGGAAAAAACAATAGCAAATATAGAAAAAAAAATCAGAGACACCTGTCATCTGGACATAACTCAATTTGCCAAGTCCTTTCACACCCCTTAGACCCCCCCACTCCAATCTCATTTGAACTTCACAGTCACTCACTGACTCGCACTGCTCGTTGCTGTGACTTTAAGGATGGACGACCTCAAACAGGCAACATCAGCTGCACAGTCAGTGCTAGCAAACAATGGAGATTAAGTTTTTGCGTGGAGAGGTTCAAAAGGAAGGGGAAGCTCTGAGACAACAGAACTCCTGGTGGCCCCAGATGCACAAGGGAAGTAGAAAGAGAAAGAGTAACTCCACCCTCCAATTCATACAGCCACATTTCAAAGGCAAATAAACAGACCTCTGCTAGAAATCAGCTGTCATCTGGATGGTGATGCCTTGAACCCTTCCAGTGGGCTTGTGAACATGAGCTGTTGTAATTTTCCTGGGTGTAAGTTCAGCAATAAGAGAACAGATCCAAGAGACTAATTACAAATGGTCTGTAATCACCCTAGTTTTCAGCAACTTTGTCCCTTACTTATTGTGGATCCGGATTCCTTGTGAGGAGATTTTTCTTTGAGAACCATTTGCATTAACTCAGAATCAGTGGAGAAACCTGCAAAGTCCTAACATACTTTCTGTCTACTTCTTCCCTAAGTTTGTCCTATCTCCAGCACTCCAGCCCAGCCCAGCCCAGCTGGCTCTCTTTCACAGGGGACTACCTAAGGGGTCCCTATGGCTGCTTTGGAAGACCTGGCTTCATGCACAAGTTTTCATATGTTCTAACAGTCAGAAAAAGAACACACTACTGAGTATTCATCGCCATATTTTTACCAAAGGCCATAGTAGGTCTTTGTAGAATCAGCTTCCTCAAGAACTTAAATGAGTGATAAGGTATGCATACCTACCAATATGTATTAATTTCCTTACAATAAAGACATTATTACATGTGTTCCAAGCATTAATGTGGTTTTTGTGCTTCAGAGTAATACTATTCCTCAGTCACAACTGCTTTAAAGTTCTTCTACTATCATTTATTTTAAAATCAGTCAGATTTTTGTTTCAAAATCTTCATAATGGCCATAAATTTTGCCCTTATTTAAAACCAACCAATAGTTTTTAAAGTATAGTATGACACATTCAAGATCTCAGTAAACCACTTTTAAGTATTTTTTCCAAAAGTATCTGTTCTGTATTTCTATATTAGGAAACAGAAGCCTAAAGAGGAAATATGGATCGACCAAAGTTATAGAGATTATGTCAGAATCTAGACCTGTTGACTGATAGCTACACATCAAATTCCAAAATTGTAAAGCAGACACACTTCTCTTAGTCTTCTTCTAACTACAAGCAAGAAAAAATAAAACGTAATTTCCTTTGATTTAAAAAATATTATTGCCAGGTGGTGGCGGCACACGCCTTTAATCCCAGCACTTGGGAGGCAGAGGCAGGCAGATCTCTGTGAGTTCGAGGCCAGCCTGGTCTACAAGAGCTAGTTCCAGGACAGGAACCAAAAGCTACGGAGAAACCCTGTCTCAAAAAACAAAAAATACTATTATGCAAAATTCTATCTCAAGATGATTCTGGCAATCAGGCAGTCTATTTCTGAGTCCACAAAAAACAAAAAACAAAACTAAGAAAAGCAAACATCATAGTACATTCACTAATAGGATTATTATTTTTATTTGTTTCTTTGTTTTAAATTCTCTTAAATATAAAAAGCTACTAAAAATGCAATAGTTTAATTTTAAAATTAGACAATAAACTGGACTGGCCCACTGACTCAGTGGATGAAGGTACTTGTCTGATAACCTGAGTTTGTTCCCTGGGATTCATATGGTGGAAGGAAAGGCCCAACTACTAATGGTCCTCTGACCTCCCATGTGCACTGTGGCTGACAGGCAGGTAGACAGGCATGTGCATGAGACAGACAGACAGGCAGGCAGGCAGACAGGGGCAGACACACACAAGTTTACATTACAATAATAATTTCATATCACCAAAAAAGGCAAATAACCTTCAAAATTCCAGAACTACAGAATGGTAACTGTATCTCTTAATGGCAACTCTATCTTTTTAAGAATGGTGTTCTATCTGGGCGGGAGTGTTGCATGCCTTTAATCCCAGCACTTGGGAGAGGAGCAGGTGGAGGCCAGCCTGCTCTGCAGAGAGAGTTCCAAGACCAGCCAAAGCTAAACAGAGAAACTCTGTCTCAAAAAATAAAATAAAATGAAATAAAATAAAATTTTACTTTCTACCTCCTAAGCTCACAAAAAGCCAAGTATCATTCTATAGGAGAGGATACTTTGAAGTCTATACAACTGTGGAAGTGACTGATTTATTTCAATGGTAAAAGCAAGCTCTAATTTATCTACATTAATCTATGCAGTCAGACAGACACCAAGCTCAACAACCTTCATTAGGCTGAAATCTGGAATAGCATTCACAAGATCCCAAAGTTTTAGCAAATTAAACCAGATGCCTCAACCAGCTAATTAAAATAATTAGCAAAAGTGATTCACTAAGATATCTTAAGAAAAGGTAAACTGACATTACCTGATCCAGATCCTGATGTTGTCATATCATAAATTAAATCTTTTAAGGTGGTGCCCTCTGAGATGAAAGGGCGGTCTAGTGACGGGTCCTCTTCATTTGGCACGCGATGATGAATGACTGTGCGGTTATGGCAGATATAGACCATCAGCATAAGTGCAATGCAGACGAAGCAGACTGGACCAGCAATGACAGCTGCCAGCTCCACAGGACCAAGGCTGGGAGACTGCTTTTCTGAAAAAGGTCCTCAAATGAAACAAACATCAACAAGGACAAAAATAATGTAGGTGGCACCCACATTTTCCAAACTCTCCATATTTCCCAAGTATCCAGGGCTATCACTTAGGCAGAGAGCCTCACACACAGGGCTCACAGCCAGAACAAGCTCCCTGTTCTGTCTTCTTTCTCCCCGGTCTCCCATTTTGGACCTTCAGCTGTCAGGACCCTACTACTCTCCTGGTGCATCCCCAGCCCATCTTCTAGTTCATCACTGAGTTGGTCAGCAAACCAGCCTCCTAGACCTCCCTCCCCACTGTCACCTCAAATTAACTAGTAAAGGAACCAACAATTTGAAACAATGTCCAGCAACTCAATTGTTTTATAAAGCACTCTCGTCTTCTTATTCCAAGTCTATAACAAGTTTATAGCAGAGGAAAAAAATACACAAATATAGTTAATAAAGTCCTTACAAATTATCTATTTCCTCGTGATCCTGCAAAGGCTCATATTGTGTGTGTGTGTATACCAACTTTTAAAAGCCAAAACACTTCCTTGTTTACTTTTATTTTCTATTCTAGTTATTTATTTATTCATTTATTTATTTTTATTTTTAAACCCTCCCACCCTTTTTTTTGTGAGAAAGGGTTTTACCATGTAGTTCATTCAGGCTGGCCTCAAACTTGGAATTCCTCTGCCTTCCAGCACTGGGAACAGAGCCTTGTTTTTGAAATAGTTTGTGCATACACATTCTTTTCTTTTCTTTTTTGGTTTTTCGAGACAGGGTTTCTCTGTGGCTTTGGAGCCTGTCCTGGAACTAGCTCTGTAGACCAGGCTGGTCTCGAACTCACAGAGATCCACCTGCCTCTGCCTCTCGAGTGCTGAGATTAAAGGCGTGCGCCACCATCGACCGGCATACACATTCTTTCTAAACTATTTTTGCCATCTGTATTTTTAATTACATTCCAATTATTTTTTTTATTTTTTTACAATTTTATTTTTATTGAGCTACATATTTTTTTCCTTTTCCTTCCCCTTCCAAATATTTTCTTAAACTCTCTTATTAATTAATATTTGCTCATTTCAAAAACACATTAATACACACACATATATATGTCAACAATTAAAGAAAAGAAGGCAATGAGTTTAAAAGAGAGATGGAAGAAAGTATATGAGACGGCTTGGAGGGAGGAAAGGGAAGGGAACTATGATATTATAATCTCAAATGTAGTATTTGGAAATATATTCATTATAATTACCAAGCTTTAATTGGTTCACGGCTCCCCACCATATTTTTTCATTCTTGACATCGTCATTTAGAATAATTTCTTATCATATAGAATTTTATTTCTAGCAATTTCTTTCAGGAAGAGTACTTAAATTCTTATAGACTGCATATTTAATTAGTTATGTGAAGACAGCTGTTACCTCTGAATATGAAAAGTCTTGAGTTACTTTAAGAATTTTGGCGACAACCATTTGCAGCATTTTACTGTTCCCTGAAACTTGAATAAAGTGGCAAATCTGAGCATTTTCCTCCTTTATAGATAACCAGTGTTAAGTGCACTGATGCTTTTTTTCCCTCATACTTAAAGATTACACTGAGCCGGCAAGGTGGCTTGTAGGGGAAAATGTCTATTACTGAGTCTAATAACCCCAGGAACCCCAAAAGAGAGAACCAACTCCTACAAGGTGTCCTCTGATACACACACACACACACACACACACACACACACACACACACACACTTAAAAATACAGGCAAGATGGCTAAGTGGGTAAAGGCACTTGCCACTAAGCCTGGCAACATCAGTTCAATTCCCAGAATACACGTGTGGAAATAAAATACGTCCCCAAAAGTTGTCTTCCAACTCTCTCTCTCTCTCTCTCTCTCTCTCTCTCTCTCTCACACACACACACACACACACACACACACACACACACACACACGGTGGCACATGTGCACCAGCACACCAGTATATATACACAAAATAAACAAATAAATAAATGTTAAAAACTAATTTAAAAACTGTTAGTAAAAAAAAAATCCATTTTCTCTTTGGTTAGACATACCAGTGCCTGCACCTCTCTCACACACAACCACGCACAGTTCCTATGGATATACTCACATGTACACTGGATACAGAGTATCAGCTCAGAGAGAAGACATGGTAGGAGACTGGAAGGGCTTGGGGATCTCCTCCATAAGGGCTGACTCACTAGACACCAGAGTCTGGTCTCTTGTGTTTCAAGAGCTCTCCCAGTGCAGTGTGTGGAAGTTGCAGGAAATAGTCTTCCTACCCACCCATACACAGTGGCACAGACACAGCACATGCAGACTTATGCACACACAGATAAATAATTGTAGTTTAAAGCTGTTAAAGAAAACGAATTTTTAATAATTTTATGAATTTCATTAATCGTAATTAATATTATTTTCTGTAGGCTCTTCTGCCATTTTCTGGATTTCTAATAAGCACTTTGGACTACCTAGCTCTATCTTCAACCTCTCATTAAACCTATTTGTACAGTAACTGGTTCTCTTAATCTTTAATTATGGTTTAATGTTCTCACTTATAGTCAATAACTGAAAACTGAAAGTTCTTTGCTAATAAGTGGTAGCCTAAAGCACAGGAGGAAAACTAATCCAACTTATCCATCCAGGTGACATCTTTTCAAACAATTGAGTCTTTTGCAACTTTTAGCAACAACTTTTGAAGCACTGAATCTTTTCTTTTGTTACATTTTTGCTGCTTGCTAACTGGAACCAGAAATGAGGTGAGTTCTCCACAGGGTTCTATAAATTTCCACTTCAGTATTTCAAATTTAAATAATAGAAATAAGAAATTCAGGAATTGTCATTTTCTTTGCCATATTATAACTATAGATGCCTATATAATTGTCACAAAGAAATCACAGGCCAGCAGAGTCACAGAGTCTAACCACAGAGAGCTTCATTAGCTTGCTACAACTATGAGGAAGCTACATCCCTGCTGTGCCTGGTAGGCCTGGCCTCTTTCCTGAGCTACAGGTGTGCTTCCTACTTTAGTCAGCATGAGCTCTGAGGCCCTGAGTACTGGAACCAGGTGCTTCTAAAAAGAGAATCTAACATTTGCTCCTGTAGCAACCCATCCCTAGTTGTAGGGTTAAGTCAGCCCCTTTAGGGGGCGGGGTTTGCCTCGGGCGTTTGTTGATGGATAAATCGAGCACGCAGAGGCTGCGCCCTCCCCTTTTTTCCTGCCTCCTGGGAAAACGGCTCCACGCTGGAACCTCGGTTCTGTAAGTTTGTTTATATATTAAAACATATATATATATATATTCTTTAATATCTGCCTTTGCAATTATTTACGCCGTTACATTTGGCGCCCGCCCCGTGGGGCTTTGCCGAGACCCGGCCCAAATTGGAGTCTCTTGGGGCCACCGCTCCTAGCAGCGGGCGCAGACTGTACACTTTCAGCCGGTCCGACTCGACTACGGCTGGGGACACAGCTGAGATTCTGAGCGACTCGATTTTCCCTGCTGCTTGCTAGAGAATCAAGCGGGACGGGAGAGCTAGCACTCCCCGGTGGTTTGAAATCTTTGAAATCGGCAGCGCCTCTGTAACAGCATGATCAGTCTCTGTTCCCCTCCCACCTCCGCAGGCGCTCGGGTCACGTGACGGCGGCCCTGCGAGCCGGCTCAAACACGCCCGGTCCTTTTGATTTGTTCACTTTGGCAGCTTTCTCTTTGTTCCCTTTCTGGCCCAATTGCTACTTATCAGCCTGGGATGTCTGCTCTAACTTTGCTTTTGAGTCATTTATTTCAGACTTAGGCCACGTGGACTCAAGTGGACTCTTTCGCCACCACTGGCAGGAACCGGTCATTGCAGGTAAAAGAATTTTTCTTTTACAAATAAAATGTCTAAGAACGTGACGGTCTTAGATTTCAATAGCTTTTTTGAATGTTACCATGTGGGATATTTTACAAGAGATGTCTATCACCCCACATCTATGGATATTTCTGGGATTAGTAGTTCTCCTTGGCACTATATGTTTTGACAATAGAAATACGATCAAGTCTCTTAAGACAGAGGTTGAACGTTTAAAAACTATTGAGAGTGACAACAATCTTCTCAAGAATCAGCTTGAAGTTCTCCAGAAAGAGAACAGATCTTTGTTTAACATGACTCGGTTAACTGAGCAAAACTTAGAAAAGATACAGGCTGATGTTAAGGAGAAATTCATTACTATAGAAGAAGGAACAGCTGCTTTGGATCCTTTGCAATTATTTACGCCGTTACACCTAGTTCTTAAATTGAAGGCTAGCACAGGATTTTTACTAGTCTGGTGTCATTTACACACACACACACACACACACACACCCCAGATGTGGAGGTCAGAGTTCAACCTTTGGAAGTCTGTCTCTAAGTACTGGATTACAAGGGACTCTTGTCTCAAACAAACAAAAACTGACAATATCAATACAGGATTTTTTTTTAAAAAACAAAGTAAAAGCATTCTTATAGCTGTAGGGTTTACTATGTCTAAAAATCAAGATGCAAATTCAATGTCTGATTATATATACACACAAGGGGGGAGAGAAGTGGGGAGAGAGGGAGGGAGGGAGAGAGAGAGAAAGACAGACAGACAGACCAACTGACCTACCTTCAGGTCTTACTATGCAGCCCTGGCTGGCCTCAAATTCATAAAGTTCTTCTTGCTTCTGTCCCCTGAGTTCTGGGAATAAAGGTGTGTGCCACCATGCCTTTACCTTCCCCTCCCTTCCTTCCTTCCTTTTCTTCTGGTATTCACCCTTTCATTAATCCTGCTAGCATTAATATAGTTTTTCTCCCATTTTATATTCCTTTGACTATTAAAATAAAAATCTAGGACTTAAAGAAAGTGGCAAATTTCTATGTAATTCAGAATATTAAAGTAAAAATTACTGGCTACGCCAGGACCAAGTACTATTATTTTATGTGCATAGGTGTTCTGCCTACATGTCTGTGCACCAGAAACATAACATGCTTGAGGGGGGTCAGAAGTGGGCATCAGATCCCTTGAACTGGAATCACAGATAGTTGTGAGGTACCATAGGGGTGCTAGAAATTGAATCTGGGTTTTCTGGAGAAGGAACAAGTACTCTTAACTGCTGAGTCATCTTTCTAGCCCTTCCAGGACCTTTAAAAAAGTATTAAATACATGGCTTTACACGACATCATACAGACCATAAACAAGGTTAAAAAAAATTTACAAAATGAAAACATCTAGACTGCTTAGTGTGCTTGATTTCTGCCCATTAAAAGGCTGTTGACTGGACTGCCCTTAAGATGTAGGCACAGCATACAAGGAAGGAGAATTCACTCTGGGGACAAGGTAGAGGAAACCCTAAGGACATGCTCCCCTATGAGATTCTAGAGTTCACTTTGAAGAGGCTACCCTTGCAGGCATAGCAGACCTCCCTGAGTTTCCTAACAACACACACCCAGGAGTCAGGACCCTGGCTACTCCTAATTCTACAACTGTGGGCAGGTCACTTTCTGCTTCTACCTTCAACAATATGAGCTTGGTGACTTCTGTGAACACAGTCCAGAAGCTTTTCTTTTAGCATCTTGGAGGACGGAAGGGAGGGAGGGGTGCTAATACAACAACTTACCTGTAGTGGGGAGTTCTATTTTATTGCAGTGATCTTGATTGCAGCAATATGTTGTCGTAACAGCGCCTGTTTTTGAAGATGGTGCACAAACAAACGGCCTGTCTCGAGGAATTAGGTCAATTTCAGCTATACACATACTGTTGTGTATAACTTTATCTGTGGTCTCTGTGACCGAGACAAAACAGAGGCCATCCGTCTCACAGGTAAAATTGTCTTTTGTACAGAGGTGGCAGAAACACTGTAATGCTGAAGAAAAAGAAAAAAAATTTATTAGGAAAAAGAATCCCAAGGTTCAGTTTAAAAGTTCAACATTACAACTATTAGTATATTTTTGATCTATTATAACACAATTTATGTACTACTCAAATAGCAAACATATTACTCTTAGAATGTCCAAGAATCACATAAAATAGAAGCCAAGGTAATTTAATGAAATTTCAACCTAGACTTTTACCCACCCCTCCATCTGCTTCCTAGAAAAGAATTATACGAAATTTCTTCTAGATAAGGCAAGAATTTGCTCTCCCATTTCAAACAAGGTACAGTTATAGTTGTTCCTAGCCCTAAATTAGACATCCACATATACCCACCTCCCATCCCTCACAAGTGATTGGGAATCAATGTCTAAAAGTACTGCCACAAACTCAATACAGCCTAGAAATGCCTTTTCAGTAGATTCGTGGCAATGAATAGAAAGAGATGCATATTGAGCCACAGGTTTTCTACTCACTCTTGCAAATCCTAAGACATATATATCTTCTAACTGTTATGGGGCAGACTATTCCAGCCACATGGGCAAACTAGCTACATGCCCACTACACCTATTAAATCTTTGTGGCTCAACTCTAGGAATGATCCCTTTATGGAAGTATCTGCTGTCGTCAACATTTTCCCATATACACACCAATATCCTCTAGTGAGATTAAGTGCTTCCCCAAAGTAATACATACAGCTTACCAAAAATGCTTTTATTATTTCCTCCTCTAAGAAAACCTAAGTTCTTTGAGGCCAGAGACTCATACCCATCTGAAAATTCACCACAGAGCCTTACGCCTGGCAGCAGTATTCAACTGCTTGCTGAATGAACAACACAGTAAGGGATCCAATTACTCACTGCCAAGGGAAAAGTCCAGTTAGGAAGAACGGTCAACAATGATGAGACCAGGGAAGTTTATTATATCTAGAAAGAGAGAAGCTAGGCAGACGGCAGGCCAGAAAAAGCTATCTTCCTAAATGGCTAGTGTGCTGTGCAGCAAAGTTTATTTAGCAGGCCAGCATAATCCCAAGAGTAACTGTCCTTGATGGGATCTGAGTGCTGAGCCTCTGGGATATACTCTCTGATAAGAATGTTTCTCTACAAGAAAGGCTTTGGGTCACATAGTACCAATTTGACCAAATAGTTTGCACTAACAATGTGATTCAGAGAAGAGACCTAATTTTGTTTGTTGGGATGGAGGCAGTAGGTCCTTAGCTCAGCTGCTATGCAGACCATAGACCTATAGACTGTGATAGTTAATCTAGATCAACAACCTGACTGGGCTGAGAACCACCTATGAGACTTGTAAAGCACACCTCTGAGGGCATTTCCAGGGAAGATTTGGGGTAGAGGTGAGGAGGGGTGGCTACCCTGAATGTGGGTATTACTGTCCTATGTTCTGGGGATCTGGAAATAGTAAAATGAGAAAAAATAGGGAGGGGGAGGGAGAGAGAGGGAGAGTCATTAAGGACAAAGGACGGTAATGCTCGACTCTCAGATACTTTGTCAAGCAATGAACAATCTCACTAATGGCCGGCAACTGATCCTCAGTAAAAGCCCTAGACACCAACCAAGGCTCAAGTGGGCTTTATTGGTTGGTTTGGACATGCTGTCACATGCCACTGCCAAGAGAATGAAGAGTTCTGCTCTACTAGAAGAAGGTGTGTTGTTTGGAGACCCTGAACTAATATGAAGCTAAACTCTTAACTCAGGAACACCATGTTTTTTTCTTGAACAGTTGCTTCAAAAGGTTGCTGCTGCAATCAGCACACTGTCTATTATCTTAACAGACTAACAAAGTGTTATTTTGATCATTATAAAAAAAATATTTTCAGAGCCAATGAGATGGCTCAGTGGGATACTTGCCACACAACCTGCTGATCTCAGCTCAATTCTCAAAACCCATATAAAAGATGGAAAGAAAAGATCAAGTTGTCTTCTCTACCACGTTCACTCCTTCATACACATAAATAGTAACAATAAATTGAAAGAATATTTTCCTTCTTCTTAGAGTTCAGCCATTTAACTTAACTCTACTCAAATATGAAGGGAATTCAAGAAAAATAAAGAGACAACACTTTTAGAAAGAGATAATAGTATGTCGGTTTTGGCGAAGAGTTTTAGTGCCTCTCTCTACCTAGTTAAACCCACCTCTCCTCTGCTTCTCACCCTTCAAGATCCTATTCAAAGACCCATTCCTCATGTGATCTCAAGTCCTCCCCTTCAGATAACTGGGGTCTGTTCCATGTGTTCTTATACCCCTCTGCACCCTTAAAGATGCACACCAACCTGTCTATAGTTGTCAGTGTCTCTCATTACGCTAGGAGGGGCTGCTTAGCTGTTTTGTTTTATTCTGGACCCTGAGGTAGTACCAAAAAATTATATTTGGTAGATGGTTTCCCATACAAGAGGTCACAAAGAAGAGAAAAGTACTGGGCAGTGGTGGCTTATGCCTTTAATCCCAATACTTGGGAGACATAGACAGGTGGATCTCTGTGAGTTCCAGACCAACCTGGCCTACAAAGGCTAGTTCCAGGATAGGCTTCAAAGCTACAGAGAAACCCTATCTCGAAAAACCACACACACACACACACACACACACACACACACACACACACACAGAGTCTATGAGTTACATACCCATTTTTATTCCAAAGATAATCCATCAATAATGATAAACATTCTGGATCCTGAGTAGCCACCATCGCCAAAAGCATTACAAAGCTTTCACTACTATTTTTACAGCTGTGTGAAAAGCTCATTCAGGTCAAATGTCCTTGTGGCACACTTTACACACAGACAGCTTCACAGTATGTATAGAGTAAAACCATACCAATAAAACTTAAAATACAAAATGCACCGGGTAATATAGACCTGGTAGACTCAAAAGAGCCAGTACCACAGGTGTCCTGAATCCATGCACACCCATACAAAGCCCTTCTTTGTAGGAAACCTTGCAAACATTAACTTGCAGTATATATGGCTATTAATATTCAATGATACTTTCTGTTCTCACTTTAGAAAACCATTTAGTAGAGACTTCAATAATAGTATAATACTAGCCCTATCTTTCAGTAAACGAAACATCTCATTAAAACTAATATTTGAGGAATGCTTGCTAGCAAGTGTTTTGGTTAGGTATGAGATGTCATTATCCTGAACTTACCAACAAGCCTTGAGGTCATTAATGCTATCTTGAACATTACTGATGAAAACAGCCGCTTGCAGCATTTATTATCACTGCAGTTAGAACAGTGAAACACATATAAAAATAAAATTGGACCTAAGGCCATTTTATTTCTACAATGAAATAGAAACATAAATTGTCATGCCAAATAATTATATTAATTTGCATTTTGCTCGATGCGGGATTCCCCTCTGTATGCTGTGAATACCATTGGTTAATAAAGAAACTGCTTCGAACCTATAGCAGGGCAGAACAGAGCTAGGCAGGGAAAATAAAACTGAATGCTGAAAGAAGGCAGTCAGGGAGAAGCCATGTAGCCCCATCAGAAAGAGACGCAGAACCTTGCCAGTAAGCCACAGCCACGTGGTGATACACAAATTAATAGAAATGAGTTAAATTAAGATGTAAGAGTTAGCCAATAAGAAGCTAGAGCTAATGGGACAAGCAGTGATTGAATTAATACAGTTTTTGTGTGGTTATTTCGGGTCTGAGCTGCTGGGCAGTCGGGAAATGAAGAGCAGTCTCCTACAACATTTTGCTATATTTTGTTATCTTTGTATTTAGTTTACAGATTAAGTGTATCATTGTAAATGAGCCCCAAACATTGTTTTATGCTTTCTAATTTCATGTCTACAATCTAAAGAACATTATGAAAAATACATTTTGCATTTTCCTTTCAAAGAGGTAAATATATGATGAAATTTTGAAAAAGCTGAAGGTTTCTCTTATTACTCTTTCAACAAGAAAGGTCACTAGACAAGATAAATAACATACAGCACAATCTTAGTTATGCAAAAATTTATCTCTTGAGACGATTTTAAAACTCCATTTTTCCAGTCTAAACCAGATGACTGAATACAGGATTTCTATTATATAACCTAGTAAATTATGAAAAATTAAAACAGAAACTTAATAGATTATTATAGACATATTTATTATCTCTCATTTCTTACAGGTTCCAGTCTGCAAGCTAAGCATGGTAGTGCACACTTGTAATTCTAGTGCTTAGGAGGCAGAGGCAAAAGGATTCCCAAATCCCAAAATGTGTAGCCTGACATACACAGCAAGACTGCTTCAAAAAAAGCAAAGGCTAGGGATATAGTCAGTGGTAAAGCAGCTCCCTACCACGTGCAAGGCCTTGGGTTCAATACTCACCACCTTATCTCACCTGAAACAAGAAGTAACTTTATTATTTACATCCAGCTCCTCGTTTACCTCATTCCCCCTTTTATTTTTTTCCCTTTACATGTATGTAAGAGTGCCTGTGTGAATATATGCCATGTGCGTATGGGTGACTGGGAAGGCCAGAAGGGGATGTTGTAGATTGTTGTGCACACCTGATTTGGGTGCTGCGAACAGAACTCAGGTCCTCTGGAGGAACAGTATGTGTTCTTAACCACTGAGCCATCTCTCCAGCCTCCACCTCCTTCCTCTTTTATTAAAATAAGGTCTTTGGGCTGGCAAGACAGCTCGGCAAGTAAAAGTGCTTGCCATGCAAGTCTGACAACATAACCTTGACTCCAAGAACCCAAGGTGGAAGGAGATGACCAACTCCCAAAAGTTGTTCTTTGGCCTCTCCTCACACAGTGACGCACATGCACCCATACCCATACACACCCCTGCACACACAAATAATATCTAGGTCAAAGTAGTGGTTGGCAAAACGGCTCAATGAATAAAGGCACTTCCTACCAAGTCTAGTAACCTTAGTTTATCCCCAGAAACCATATAGTAGAAGAAAACGGAGTCTTTTAAGTTGTTCTCTATCTACATGCATTTGCAGTGGCACACTTTTCTCTTACA